AAAAAAAAAAAAAAATTACATTACCTTTTTTGAAAGATCAATATAAAATATGTTATATTAGAGCCTCTCCAACCGTACGCCAAAACGCAAAAAAATTGAGAAACTTGCTCCAACCGATCGGTAAACGCAAACCCAAAATGGGTTTCTGGCCCCTTTCTCTCTGTGCAAAACGCAAATATGCGTTTGTACTGTAGACAAACGCATATATTTTTTCATATATCATTTTGGCCCATTAATATTTTATGTTGTGCAAAAATATATTTTACAAACTATTTTGTATTTTATATTTAATTATTCAATGTGTAATTTTGTCTATTTATTAGTTTTTTTTCATTAATATTTTATGTATGCAAAAATGTATTTCAAATTATTTTGTATTTTATGTTTAATTATCTTATCAATTATGTGCAATTTTTTCTATTTATCAGTTTTTTTTTTTCACATAACTGTTTGTAATAATTTTTATCTCTAATTTATATTTATACATCTTTTTATCATATACAATAAAATAATATTAAAAAATATGAAATATACACAAATAAAATAAGATATTTATATATGATGGGCACTTTCTATAATAGATTTAATCAAAAAATTAAGAAAATATTTGTAAAAATTTCTAGGACATTCCTAAGAAGTTTTAATTAATTTGTGAATTTTTTAAGAAAATATTGATGACAAATTAAATTAATATAACCGTTTTAAAATATTATTTAGATTTAAAATAAAGAATAATGTACTTTTTACTTACTTGAAAAATATTTATTCAATTTTTTTATTAAAAAATATTACTAATTTTAATTAATTTATTATTTTTTTCTATCAAATATAAAAAATTATGGGTCTAATTGGTAAAATTATTAAAATATGTAGGTAGTATTGAAAATTTGTAAAGTTTATGTGAATGAGAATATTTTGATAATATTCTTTTGGGTTTAGGAATGAGTTTTTCGGTTGGAGATGAATTACTGTATAATGTGACAGTTACTGCAAAATGGGTTTGAGAATGGGTTTTTCGGTTGGAGATGGTCTTAGTCTGCCTGATTACGTGCTGCAGACCCAAACCACCTCGAGGTAGAATGTTGTGCACTAAGCTCACGTGTAATGCTTATCTGGTCGATCTCACAACCAATTATACATTCAAGTCGAGTTTCAACTATGCCACATGAGACCCGTAACTCGACCTGCTGGTGTCTTTCTGAACTTGCGACGTCCTCATCGACCTAAGGACTCGTTGGTCTGTAGCTCTGTTCGGCCTACTTGTGCTCTTGGTTGACAAAACGATTTGCTCGACCAAGCTGACTGGTTTATTGGGTTTATTCAACCAAGTATGGTACCCCGTATCCCATATCATTTGGTCCCTCCGATTCTGGTCGAGTTAGAATAACTCGATCTAAGAGTAAAATTTTATTTTTGACTTCGTTTGGTGAGATTAGTACAAAACACTTTTATCATATCAACTAGATTTATAGTCATAAGCCATAAGCTCGAAATTCACTTATAAGCTATCGCCCAACTTATTATCTATCATCTAGTTTTACCAAACATAGCCTTAGTTGAGACCTTCAAGGGTCAGGTAGCCCTCATACATATCTTACAATAGGTATTCCATCGTCTCACTATTAGATTGATCATAACTTCAGTCTCAACCCTACATTAATGTACGAGGAAAAAAATATGTCGATTGACTAGTACACCTCGTGTATGCTTAATATCTATTATACCCTTACTTCGATTTAAACTATAATTTATTTTATTTCATTAAAAAATTATATCATACTTAATTTCTTGCTTATGTATATAATAAAAATACCTATAAAATAGGGTAATTGAATTAAAAATGTACTAAAATTGAATATCTGACCATGTCGGCGCCACCCGTCGCTGCCGGCCACTACCATTAGTTGTCGTTCGTCTACCATTAGTGAATTTAAACAAATCATATATATCATTTTAAGCTATTGACAAGATCTATCCAACGACAAGTTTGATTTCATCATATGATACCTCAAACTTTGTTAAATCGTCATTGGAGTTTCAAAAATAAAAAAATAAAAAAAATCAAAGAATTGCGCAGTAAATTATTTTAGAATGTCAGCGGATATCCGACCGTTAAATATTTGTGGAACATATATGTATAGAAAGCTTTTTTCATATGGAATCCAACGGTATTTCCCGATTGTTGAACCTATAAATAGTTAGAAACACAAGTGAAGTTTTTAGATTTTCAGCGGTGCACGGTTGCGAGATGGATACTTCAACCCGACGATTTCCAATCACTCGGTTGTCCAAATTTGATCGGTCAACTCTCATTTTGTTCCTACTTTCATGGGAAACAACAAGCCTTAATCAATTTATTTTGAATTCATATGATCCTTCAATTCGAAATGATACTTTCTACATATTTATTTTAAACTTTATGTATTTTTCGGTGGGTACCAAAAAATGATTTAAGTGAAAAATTGGTTATTAATGAATTTAACAAAATAAATATTTAAGTCAGTGAAAGGACACGTATTATACTTTCAATGAGTGCTTATTGTTGGGTATGTACGAGACATGCACAAGGGGTGTCTGATAGTAGAAATACTCAACTAAATTATAACATTAGTAATATAATCAAAATACCTTCATAATAGCTTTAGATATGATTATGACTGGCTAGTAATAAGAGATTAACTAAGTATAAACAGGGTCGTCTCCAACAATGATAAAAGGAAAGAACTATTTCTTGCTTTTCATAAAACATGAAATAAATCTTGAAATTGATAAATTATTTTTGAGTTTGCAGAGATCTTGGGTAAATTACATTCAAGCAATCAAGAGAACACTAAGGAGAGAAAATAGAAAACTATATCACTGAAAATAATATTTATTTTCACACAACTTGTTCAGCTGCACATCATAAAAAACAAAACCATATTTATCCATTTGTCCATTCATTAATTAGCACGTTCATTCGTGCAATGAACCAAGTTTATATTTAGCCATTAACCCCTTCTTTAATCAGTACCCTTTATTTGTGTAATAGGCCAAGCGACACACAAATGCACAATATTAGTAAAATAAAATAAATTGCCTGCTTCAAGAGCTGGTACTGAGTATAGAGCTGCTACTAGGAAAATTTAGTATTATGCGAATATATATTTTCAGTATGAATACATATGAAAAAAAAAAAAAAAATTAAGTAAGAGTATGACATTTACAATAAAATGAATGTATTTTGATCAAAAGGTCTTGTTTAGTATTAGGCTCTCTTATAAAAATATTGTGAATACTTTAATAGATTTTGTACAAATTATTTTATATATTTAAATATTTAATGTCCAAATTGTTTCATGTTAAATTAAATTTCTAAGTTAATGTCAAATATAAAAAACATGGTTGTTATTTGAAAGAAACACAGCTGAAATTTTATACTTTAAACTTCCTAGCTTATTTAATTACATATTTTTATAGCTAACAAAAATAGCAGCTCATCGACCAACCATTTTTTCCTAATATTTGACACGAAGTTGGGCAGCGGATCCCACAATGATGTCCAAAATGTGCTGGCCTCTCGTTTCTTCACTTTCCTGCCTTTGCTGTCAGTGGGTGCCGACCAGCGCCACCTCCTTTTATTGGCGCGTGTTCCCACGCTGTAGAGCTCGATTTGAGCTTTGACTCGTGCGCTCGCGAGCTGCTCGATTTGTTTGTATCTTTACCCGAGCCTGAACTCGAATATCAAAATTTTGTAGCTTTACACGGCTTTACTCGATAAAAAAGTGACATGTAAATCAATATATGGCTAAAATTGGAATTGGGGTACAATAGCAAAGGGTGAGATGAAAAAATTAGAAACCCTAGTCATTGATAATTGGTATTTAATTTTATTCATTTGTCCGTGCAGACATCCCCTTTGTCCTCCCCCAAGAAAATCTTTCCGGCCGTCACTTTAAGGTCCTTTCATCTAATTTTCAGGCGCCGGCCCGAAGTTTGGGCGCTTTATTTAATCTCCGTATATTTCTGTATACGAATACGTTGGTCTGTTATTAATCCCAGGTTAGTGAAGCTCGCAAATAATCATCACCTGTAATTGATCTCGCTTGACCAGTAGCTGCCTGAGTCCGAGGTATGTCCAAGTTCTTCTTACCTTTATTGAAATGTTCTTCTGCTTTCAATCTGCAATGGTTGGGCCGGGCCGAATTCAATCCTTTACTCTGTTAGAACCATTACAAAGTATCGATTTTTGGAATTGATTTGATTCGATTCGTGTTGCCCTTTTTCTTTACAACAAGAATTGATATTTTTTTTTCTTCCTTAATTTGAAGTTTGCTCAAGAGTATAATCCTTAGCGTGAGAATATGGGAAAGCCCACAACCAGAAAGAGGGCTCAGATCGGGTCGAAGCTCAACCTAGACGGGCACCCGACCCCCCGCAAGGCAGCCTTCGACAAGGACACAGCCGTCTTCATCGCCATGTCCCAGGAGCTGAAGGAAGAGGCCAACAAGCTGTACCAGAGGCGAGACCACGAGGGCGCCATGCTCAAGTACGAGAAGGCTCTCAATCTCCTGCCTCCCAACCACATCGATGCAGCTGCTCTCCGGACCAACATGGCCTTGTGCTACATGCAGATGGGCCTAGCCGAGTACCCCCGGGCCGTGAGCGAGTGCAACCTGGCCCTCCAGGTGGCCCCCAAGTTCAGCAAGGCCCTCCTGACACGGGCCAGATGTTACGAGGCCCTGAATCAGCTTGCAGAGGCCTACAGGGATGTCAGCAGTGTGCTGGCCATGGAGCCCAACAACACGGTCGCTCTGGAGATTGACGAGCGTGTGAAGC